TTATCTGGATTTCTCTGAAGAAGTTTGTGAAGGTCATTTTAGCTTCAGCTAATCCCACAGACACAGAACAAAGCCACGCTGGTATTATACGATTAAAATATGTATGAAAGTGATCAAAAATATCATGGCACCCTTCTGTGTATTTCATAAATGAAAGCCCCATTGATGTAGAAGTATCCACCATCCACTGCTCTAGGCTTCAAAGTAAGACGCTCTATGTTCCCTTCTAGTGTCAGTAGACGTGGGAGAGACGACCTGTCAGTTTCCACTCATGTATAATGTATTTTCAACATAAACTTCTGTGCTCACAGGAAACCTACAGTTTCCAATTGTTACATGCATACAGTGTCTCTTACTTGGTTGGTTAGGAAAAGATGGGGTTAGGGTTAATATAGTACATACATTAAGTAACAACATTGACTTGGTCTCACACAAACACCGGTCTCCTGGAGGAAAGTCGTGACCGAACCATCCTCAAGTCCAACCCGGTCTACGAGGTCGTTATTTCGACTTTTTCAGTTGCCCTGAAGCCGATGGGTTTACATTGTTTGTTGAAAGCCTGGTGCATCTCATTCAGACACTAAAGCGGCCCGGGACACAGAGGAGCACTGACCAAGCATCAGCGTCTGTAAGAAAGCAGGAAGCTCAATAGAGGCTACAAGTAATGGTGACAGGAAGTATGTGCAATGAGAAACAAACCCTGTCTCCTCAAGTTCATGTTAACATATATGTATTTTCCAGGACAACAGTCTAGTACGAAATGTAATGCTGCCCAGATCATGTTTAAAAACAAAAATCTAAATAGTGAGGAAGTTGGCAATGGAGATTTGGAAACTGTCAACATATTTCAGTTACAATGTAACATCTTGGAATCTAGATCGTGATGACCATTAATAAAGTTATTTGTATATTGTACTTATTGTTTATACTCCATGTGACCGTATACCGTGAACCTGTGGACAAGACAGCAGCTAGAGCATGTTTTTCATGCAAATATGTACTTGTGTTATTTTAATACAAAATGACAAAGTCAATTCTTGAACAATAATGGACAAACCACAGACTATTTGTCCGTCCTATTTGTCTGTTTTACAAATGCTGAGAAACTGCGGACAGACAGACGGGTCCATCAGTTGGTTTCAGTCGAGACACAGCAGGATTTTATTAGGATAAGGTCATCTGAGGGGTCTGGTCTATCCTTGTGTGCTAGACTCCAGTGGAACATAAGAAGTCATTTGAAAGTAAATCATTACCACGGTATCAACACAACACATGTATTTGGTTCTGGATGCTTAATGTAAGCATCTCTATGAGACACACCAGGCTTTCATCTAACTCCAACGTAAACCCATCCATTAAATGCTCAGAGCAACTCATGTAGTTGAAAGACCAGTAAAGTCTGCTTAAAGGAAATAAAACTCAGTCTTTACACTACCTCTGGGAGTAAGAAAGGAAGGAGGGAAGAGAGGAGGTGCGAAACATATATGCCAAAACAAATATAGGCCATGACTGGTCAAGCTCTGGTATAAGATTGTACAAATATTGAGGCTTGTGTGGCGAGAGGAAGGTGGGATGTGGTTTAAAGTTTACGTGGACATTAACCAATAGTCAGAGCAAGTCCGGCAGACCGGAAGTGGGACACGCGTTTGACGTCAGGGGGAGCTAAGGGAATCCCCGTCGCATTTATATGATGCCCGCCCACCGTGATTGGCTAGTGATGGCCTTGTAATTAAAGGGATGACACCGAGGCCCAGCGAGTGATAAAAGCTCCCTTCTGATACACTTGCAAACAATGCTCTGCATGAGCAAACACCCCTTCATCAACATCTGCATATGCAAGTACCATGCATCATCTGTCGGACTAATTCACCAGGGCTCAATCTCGATGCTAAAGCCTTTTCTAATTAGAGCCTCTCATCTGATTTGGTGCTTGGCCTCATGTCCTTCACACTAAGTAAGCACTTCACATCCCCTCTCAGACGTGTATAAATTACAGTAATGTGAAAGAGTAGGTGTTTCGTCAAGTTTTCTCCTGCAGTTTTTCATAAAGCAGGTGCATTTTTCCTACTTATAACTATTATGAGGGTAAAGTGATCATCTACATATGTTTACGGTACAAAATCAAGCTTTTGGCACAAATGGGAAAATTGTGATCCTACTTTTGGCATCACACTCCTACATCACAGGATTGAGCCAAGGATTAATATTGATTAAGTTTGATGAATAGGTATTGGTTATGAAGCCTGGTGGTTGCCTTTTAAACAAACGATAGCAGATGGAAGGACAACCTGTATGAATAAGCGCTAAAGGATATTGAGGGTCCAAACAATTGTCTGAAGGACATCATGGGTAGTTCCAGTAAGCTTGTAGCACTGATTGACTTTTTTTTTCTGTGCGTTCCTACTTTTAAGACTAAAAGCCTTTACACACATGGACGTGATGAATAAATGACACAAAAATGCAAAATACTCACCTGCAAATATTAAATGTCTAGATCCGGGGGCTTCAATGTTTTTCAGGCCAAGGACCCCCAAACTGATGTAGCGATGGGGCAGGGACCCCCGACTATATATATATTGTATAAAATTGTGTTTTATATTAAACTGGGCTTAGTGCCATGTATAAACATACCTGTTATTGTGCATTCAATACTAAGCTATTCAAATAATACACAGGTTCATGTTTTTAGTTTAAACATGTGCAAGGTACAGTGAACAGGGAGGCCGTGCCACTGACATTTATAAACATACCTTGTCAACTGATACCAATGCCAACATCAACATTGTCTGTTAATTGCATGATAATCCTTCATACAAGCTATTCAAATTGACGTTTTTATTTTAAACATAAATGTGGAAACGAAAAATGAGTGATGGCCTCTTAGTGCCACTACATGCATAAACATACCTGTTATCTTTCATACAATACTGAACCATTAAAATAATGGACAGATTCATGTTTTTTGGTCGAGTTACAAAACGATCCATTTTCGGTCATAACAATGTCCTCATACACTTGGCCTAATAATATACTGGCCTCAGTAGTTGGCTGTTGTGGAAAGGAGCTGCAGTGTTTTAGCCAGGAATATCTTCCAAAAATGATTGCACAAGGATTCGTGGGTGAAGTAAATGTTGTTGTTTTTTTTCATTATTTTTTTCATACAAAGGTATCTTCTTTTCAAATAATATTGCAGCATGCCTTCTTGTGTCTGGGATCTTAATCAGCTGGGGACTGAATAGGCTCTAGGTCAATCACGGGGAACCTGGCAGAGCCAGCGTGTAACATGCGGCCTCGTGATTGGCACAGCAGCGATAGGGGCGTGTCCTCTTTGTGTGCAGGAGGCTTGGAGGGACAGGTCCAGGCTAGTCTCTTGCGCTGTGAGTGAACCGGTGCCCAGCTTGAGAGAGCTCCTGTGTGTCGCTGAATGTGTGCATTTCTGACTGAAAGATAACATATTCTGCCTCCATTTATCCATTCGCAACAATATGTTGGATTCATGTTAATGTGTATTTAAAGACATTTAAATTTGTGGAAAAAAATATATGAAAAACTGTCAAATCATCCAAAACGGTCACGACCCCCCTGCAGTTCCTTCAATCCCTGTTGAAGACCTCTGGTCCAGGGCATTTATTGTGAAAGGTAGTGGAAGGAGTGGATTTTGTCTGGGCTGACTTTGTCAAGGTTGAAAAGAGTAATAACGTTTGCCATCTTGGTTTGGACCACGGAGCCTCTGTGTTGTTATGTCATAATCTTTATGAATATAGTTCGTGATTGGTTGATGCCTTTATTTGGGGTGTAAAAGCTCCAAAAAATCCACCTCGAAGATTAAGTGGCTTTTTCGTCATGTAATACTTACGGCCTGTCTGAAAATATTCAGAGAGAGTCAGAGTTACATTTCTACGCGCCTGCCTCTTGAGCTCTTTCCTGACAAAAACAACAGTTTAAAAAAAGATATCACGGTGCGAAGTACTGGCATGAAAAAACTCCCCTGGTGTGTAAAGGCCTAAAGATTACAAATCCAGCAGAGCAAAGACAAGCAAAGGACAGACTCAGTAAATTACCAAATAAAAACTTTGCAACGTACTTAAAAAGAACAACTTCTATTGCTGCCACTGGTTCACCACTAATCAATGAACATTTCTTTAGCCTAAGACACATCTATATAAAGGAGAGATTGGTCAAACCAGTTAACAAATTCATCAATGACACCCTGCATTAGACACCATCACAGAGTCATTGGCAGCTTATAGGACAAATCTTGATACATGATTGCTCTAGCATTCATTTGGATATAAAACAAAAGTGGTAAAAGCACAAAGCGTTTAGCAGAAGATGAGAGGTTTACTTGATGGGGTTCAAACTAACCTGGACCTGTCTGTTAAAAAGTCAGCGAGCAAACATACTGTTGACTAAAATGCATACTAAAATCCATATTAAAATCTGATAAGAACCTGATTGTCAGAGCATATGGCTAAATACAGTTAAGAGCAGATGAAAAGTTGATAAAAAGCAAACATGCATGGTTTTCATTTGCCTCCAGCTGCCTCAGTTCAAGATTTAACAGAGTAGTTGTAGCCTTCTCCACTACCCCTTGTAGGCATACTGTAAGGTCCAACATGTCATTCACTTTGTGCAAAGACAAGAGACGTGCTGGCCACAGGGAGATAATCATTTAGTGCCATACTGCCCACTCTACAACATATTATAGTAAACAAGCAGGTTTTCTTTCTTTAATGCAGAGCTATTCTGCTGTTAAACACACATACATTTATAAATATTCATTATCGCCTCACAAATTGATGAGTTTTATTGTATATAATATGTGATAAATTGCTTCTTTGTCATAGAGATAGCACAGCTAAGTATGAAACTTTGATCATGTGATAACAGATGGTACCATATGGCAACTTATAAAAACACCATCTGCTAGAGATACAATTTCTACTGTTTCCAAAGTCAAGAACAACTCTTTATATTGTTGTGTTCACCTTTTCCTCCAGATGTCTGAATGAAGTGAAGAGAAGACAAGCTGGTCATCCTGGTTCCTCTGCCGTCAACTCGGAATCTCTCCAATTCATCTTCTGGATATCACCAAAATAGACCTAAACGTTCCACTCTAAACACAAACTCTCGGAGGAAACATCAAACCAAAGTGTTCTCTGTCTCCTTTATCCAACATAATGATTTCCAGTAACTCTCACACTTCAAGGTTAGTGCATTGACAGATTCCTCTCATCATCTTGGAATTTAAGCACTTTGTCCAATGCTTACCTCCAGGGAAAATACACTTTTGGATGCATGTCCATTTCCAACCTGGAAATAACCTGCTTTTCAACTTTCCACTAACTTGTTCAACAGCAATACTCCCTGATGATCACAAGGGAATATGCCACTCTGTTTCTGGTGGGCTTCTGTTTCCTGTTGGACTACAGCTCCCAAAACCCCCTGCAGGCTCTCCTCCAGAGCAGAACTAAGGGCGGGGCAATGTCAGCCAGGGGAGGGACTGGAGCCAAGAATGTGACAGCATCTTTGGGGGAAGTTACATCATTAGTGAGCAGGACGAGGCTAAGGCTCAGACATGGGAAGTCGAGGATCCAGCGTACTAAAAGAGGATGGGTGTGGAACCAGTTCTTTGTCCTGGAGCAGTACATGGGATCTGAACCACAGTATGTTGGAAAGGTAAACATTGTTTCCATCTGACCTTTAAAGTTATAAATGAATCAGTCTTTTACCAGCTTCTATTTGTTTATTTTATTTATTTTGAGAGTTCTTTTCAGAGGGACTCCTGGCTATGACGGCAGTATAAAAGTTTCACACATAAAGCACAAATAACATACTTTAAAAACAACATTAATATTTCAAATCAAAGATATTGTTGATATATTAATATAAATATATATTATAGCAGTGTTGTTCAGTGTCAGGATGAGGGTTCCTAATTTGTCCAGTTGCAGCTACAGATTTTTAGGAGTCAGTAGAGAACAACGATAATGTATGGCCTCATACAGAAAAATGTACCAATGTTCATATCTGCAGTTGTATAAGGCAGATAAACCAACTTTCTCTTACAAACTGAATAATAGACTAATCATAATGCAGCATGATTCATGAATCTAACATTTTAAGATGTTTAAGTTGACTGATCGTGTAGCTTGAATTATTTATTTCCTTGCAGCAAAAGAAATATAGTTCCTATAGTAGAAACCTAACATGACCCCCAACACACGATATGATGTTTAAAAGACAGATTGTGTATTCTTTTTAAGTTGAGACTCGTCCATCCACCTTATCATTTAGAGCAGTGGTCACCAACCTTTTTAAGCCCAAGATCCCTGACCTCTGCCTTGGTGACAGGCAAGATCTAGCTATTGAGGCGTTGACAGAAAGACTGTCCAGACTGTACTTACAACTTGAGGCTTTTTATTTGGCCTAATTGTAATTGAATGAATTCAAACAGTTTGGTCCAGCTTTCAAATTGATGTGACCAAGAACACACTAAATTACTTAATTTCAGTGCAACATAAAAAGGAAATTATTTGTTAACCGCAATATGAACAAGAAAAAACACATTTGCAATGAGCAGGCTGGATGAACTACCAATATTAGTTGTATTTATCAACTGAAGTTACAACACAACACAACACTGACAAAATTCTCAGTCAGTGCAACTAATGTAAGTGCAGTGCAGCTCTGTGTCCCATCACAATGCCATCAGAAGTCATGTGACTAAAGTCAGTGTGATGGCTGTGACTGAACACTGTCTGTGAGTGCCTTGTAGTTCGGCTCATAAGCACAGACAGCCAGTCTGAGGCAGTATGTGAGGTGTCAGTAAGCCGGCTCCTGTACTTTGATTTGGTGATTTTCATCTGTGAAAATGCCGTTTCACAGAGGTAAGTTGATCCAAAGTAGGCACTCGCTTTTAGTGCACATGCGCTGAGGAGAGGAAACTTCTCTCTGCTGACAAGTCCCCAAAAGTCACTGTCCCTTGACCTGGCTTTCA